GTCCGTTTAATAACACTATGAAGTGGCGGATGTGACCCGCCACTACATAAAGTCACTGCCTCTTGCTTCACTTCGGTGGAGCCTTATATTCCAGCAGCTTGCTGCTAAATTTGTTGGAATGATTGGGCCTCTGTTTGATACCTCACTAAATGAACGGCGTCCGAACCGAGAAATCAGTCACCGGCTCCCAACGGACGCGATTCCCTCAATCTGTTCCGCGGCCTTGTGGGTAAGCTATTTGACCAGAGCTCGGGTTAGAGTACCCTAAGATAACACCCTAGTTCGGTCTAGACAACCGGGTAGTGTCTTGCCTACTGACGAAACATGGAAACACACACACGCTCTTGCTCTCACGATGTTCTACGTTATCGCTACTGCACCAGCTTTGTAAGCAAACGTCACCTGAGTACCTATCTTCCTTTTGTATTATTCACGTACTTATCACCTGATCCCTCGACGGTGAACAACTCTCCCTCCACCGGTGAAGTCGTCCCATCAACGTCCGCTGACTCAGCCACACAATGCTTCACACGTTATCACGAGCCACAAGGTCTTCCATCATCGATTCTGCAATCTGGAATTCGGTTCAAGCTAGCAACACTAAGTGTGCGCACCGTACTGTAGATCGGACTGGCCCGCACCTTGGAAACCGTTGCAACTGATGTCTGCTGTTTGGCTAAGACAGGACTTTAGGACTCCAACAGTCTACCAGCTATTGTCACCAATCCACTCCACACTCGTTTTCATCCGCGCCTTTCAGGTGCCGTTGAATCTGCAGCTTCTGGGCAAGCTGATGTTGAGATTGCCCTCAGTGCTAGAGCCGAAGCTGCTCTCCTTGAATGGATTTCGATCAACAGTCGTCTCTTTGATCTTAGGCTCCATGGTTGCTGCAAGGTTAACAGACATCGAGCCGAAAAGCGGCCTCTTTTTGTGATTTCCGCCAATGCCCCCACCCCACTGACTGCAGCTCGGATACAGTCAAGGACCACTTCTAGCAAAAGCTTCATGATCTGCTCTTAAGGGCCCCTGAAACAGGCATCATAATAATGACAGAAGACTTCAACTCACGCGTTGATCGACTGTGTCCCATTTCTCCTCTACAATAAGAGTTTTCGTGACCCCAGGTGCCATTGTGCCACCTGGCGTCCTCCATCATTCACTCAGCCTTGATTACAAATTGACCACATAGCCATAAGTCGAAGATGGCGTAGAAGCATACTGGATTGCCGATCATACTGGTCCACTTGTGTGGAAACCGATCATACACTGGTGTGCGCGATAGTTTGCATTCGCTTCGATGGCTCCCCAAGGGCCAAACAAACCCGACCGAACATTTGCAAGTTGGAAGACCGTGCAATACAAACAATGTGTCAACTGAGACTTCGTGAAAGGCTTGCTTCCTCCTCTTCTCCGGATGCTGACCGGCACTGGCTAGGCTTGCAAAACGCCACGCCGTCCACAGGTTTGTCCAGCTGCGGCCTCGTCCGATACACAACTAAGATCTGGACCTCGAGAACTTCCACGGAACTCCTAGATCGTCGACACGCTGTGCCCGCCGGCACGGAACACAAGGAAATCCGTCGGTTTATTTCTCTGCAGCTGGAAGCAAGCTTTCGCTCTGACCATGAATCCTTTTGGTCTAGGCGTGTTGCTGAGATGGAGGCCGATTAGAAACTGTTGCACTTTATTTCGCCTCATCAATGCCACCGGTTGCAATTCACATGTCATCAGTCAGACAATCTGTGAGTTAGACGGTGCAAAAATCACCAACCTACATGAGCGATTGGGGCGCTAGGAAGAGAACTTTACTCTTCATTTTAACTTCCCAGCACAACCTCTGTGACACCATCTCCATCGGTTGGTGCTGACTTTGCTACCGAAGTAGAGATCCGAAGAGCAAGGCCATCTTTGAAACGGCATATAGCTCCCGGCCCTGACAGCCTTCCTTCGGCTCTTCTCAAAGAATATGGGGATGTACTTGTCTACGAATTGCTCTTGCTTTTCACAGTTTTGAACTGTTCAGGTCCCCCAACTCATGGGGAGACTCAATCGTTGTCCCGCTTTACAAGAAAGGCCTTCTCGAAGTTTGCGATAATTATCGGGGAATCTTGCTTATCTCATTTGCTTCCAAGATTTTTGCATCCATCTTACTTCCTAGGCTTTCCTTCACCAGAGAGCGTTTTCCGCAGAAGGAAAAGCGAGTTTTCGCCCAGGCCGTAGTTGCGTTGATCAAATCTTCAAGCTCCGACAAATTCTCGAGCCCTGCCACGTCCACCGTCGACGAACAATCGTAAAGTTCTTGGGTATCCGCACGGCATTTCATTCAGTAGGCAGAGCTGAGCTGTGGAATTTTCTGAGATCTAGTGTGCCTGACTAGTTTATTGCCATTCTGATGGAACTGTACAGTCACACGTTGGGAAAAATTAGGGCTTACGGCAGCTTTTCCTCTTCATTCTCTGTCACCAGCGGCGTCCACCAAGCGTGCCCTATTTTACCTTTACTCTTCAAGTTTACCATCGAATATATCGTGCAACGAGCGCTAGGTGTCCAGAATTGCGGTCTTGCTCTTTTTCCCGGCGCGAGTATCTCAGACATGATCAACGCCGATGACATCGCTTTTCTGGGTGACGATCTGCGAACGATCCAAAACCTCTGGAACTGCTTAGCGATTGCGGCATACAATTAGGACTTGTATTTCGCCCCAGCCAAATGTAAAGTGTTATTTCAGGATTGGCAGGGGCCTGCGTCCGCACGCGTTATTGCTTGTGATATTCTGGAGCAAGTGAATTGCTTCACTTATCTAGAGTATCGCATCAAGACTGGTGGCGGGGTTGAGTAGGAGGTTTCACAATGCGTTGAAAAAGCTCGCCTTGCTTTCGTCAAACTGAGACACCTGTGGCGTTGTCGTGATGTCCTCCTCAAGCTGCAGAGCAGAGTGTACAATCCTTATGTCTGTATGGTTCTGCTATAAGGCTGTGTGACCTAGCCCATTCGTTTGAAAGACATAATACAACTGCTAGCTTTTGACAACCGTTGTCTGCGAAAGATTGCTCGTGTGTGGTAGCAACATCACATAGACAATAGGAAAGTTCATGAACGTGTGCTTGGAGCGAAAAGTCTCAGCCTTCAAAACGTTGTTCTCCGAAACCGCCTGCGTTGACTTGGCCACGTACCGCAGCTGCTAGTCTATTGTCTTCCCCGGCGAGCGTCATTTGCGCTTCCCGGAAGCTCTTGGTAAAAGTGTCGCGGTGGATAAGCAATGACGTGGAGAAGGAGCATGAAAAATCAGCCTCAAGCTTAACGTAAGTCGGAACAGTGCGTCTTCCAAGTTGGGGACCACGTGACTCGAATTCCTGTGGTTTCAAACGTTGGATGTGATGACACGTAACAGACATTAGTGACGCCTATGTTGTTGTGCTGTTTAATCTGTTGATTAATCTCCAGTATATATTAACAAGATCAAAACGGCGCGTGTGAAACTCACAAAAAAGAACAGCTTTTACTTGTTTCCTTTTGTACGCTTATTTTCTTCCCTTTTGTCATGGTTCTGATGGCACATTGTCTATATACAGACTTATGAATATATATATATATATATATATATATATATATATATATGACGGCATCCGGTTTCGGATTTGCCTGTCACTGTGGCCAGCCACAGGACGCCTGCGCCTACAGAGGGACCATAGGTGGCTTACGCTGCTCCACCCACAGCTCCATCCACGCACCCCATATCCAATGTAAACCCGAAAGAATAAGACCTGAAGGCATGCGGTTGGGAGCCACGTTTAATCAACGGAGCCTGCCCACACTCCTTCACAGGCAAGTGCAAGCACGATGTATTTGGGAATTAAGCACACACAAGGCGGTGGATGGACCGTAGTCCGCTACACACTGAGTGCATGGAACCACTCTTTGATCCTAACACGACCACGAGGACCGTGCACCCCGTCCCCTCCAGCAACGACCAAGTGTCTGAAGCCGGTATGGACGAGGTGGGGGGTACTAGACAGGAAGGTACCTTGTCAACATGCACATCAAGCGCAGCCACACCGGAGATGTCAAACAACAGTCAATCACTTAAAATGACATAATCCAATAAAATATATCTATTAAAGCACACGGCTATGGCGACACAACTCCGTTTACTTAGAATATGAAGTAAGTTGGTTAGCAATGAATCTACGATAAGTACAAAATGTCCACAAGTTATTCAAAAAATTGCTACAAACGCAATAAAGTTAAGGAAGATAGCTACATTTAGCGTAAGCAAGGTGGCCATTTAATAGAGAATTATTCAGGTAGGCAGAACGAATCAAACAAAGTGACATAAAATTCCTCCAACTTAAAATGATTTATCTTTAGTATATATATATATATATATATATTTATATATGTACCACGTTGATTGTGATCAATGCAGACAAGAACCCACAGGTCGACAACGTAGTCTATTGTTTTGTTGGGCTTGTAAAGGACTATCTAATTAGGAGACTAATGCGAAGTTAACCCTAGCAGTGTACATCAAAATTCCCTGACTCCCGACAATGCAATGGTATTTACTAGTATCAGTTAAGTTGGTTAGTCTGAGTCGATTTTCTTTATATACAAAGAGTACGCGAGTGTGAGAAATTCCATTGTGATCTAATGGACACAACTAAATGTGTGATGGAAGATAATCAATCAGGTAACTTGTGTTGGAGTATTCCATCTTCCTGGATATTGGCCCTACTAACAACTTGGTAGTTGACTGAGAAAACATCCTTAGGAAAACCGTATTACTTTCTACCATTACTTTTACTTCCGAAACGGTTTTCCATTATGATGTTTCTAATGGTATTAACCCACCTTGTTGTTTTTTTACTCTACAATCTTTGGTTCCAGTTAATATGATAAATTGTGATTATCAGAACTAGAACCATCGGTATTTCTTTGCTTCACACTGAAGCGACTCTTTGCGACGCATTCCCAAAATTCCCTCATTTATTTTCACGCAGCTGGAGTGGAACAGGAGAGCCGCGAAGCTTTGTGGGACAAGACGAAATTTGCCATTAACCATGCTTACAAGAATTACCTGGAAAATTTCGATTATTTTATAAAGGCAGACGATGACACCTTTATTATCGTAGAAAATCTGAGAAAGCTTCTGTCAGAGCATACACCAGATGAGCTCTTCATCATGGGCCGCCGGTTTCGAGTGAGTGTCCATCTGATCCGGTGTGATGCACCGGCATTCAAGATATGCTTCTGTTGTTCGCCGCCAGACACTCAATCCATCTGATGCTGTTGTCGCGGAAACGGGTTTGCTTGTGTTTTCCCATGACATACTGCATCCAATTGAAATATACCACACTTGACTTTGTCAGGTAAACCCTGGGCTCAAGCTATGCTTTTTCAATTTTTCAGCCTCACGTGAGCCAAGGCTACCTCTCCGGTGGTGGCGGGTATGTCCTGTCCCGCGCTGCGCTGATAAGGATACATGACGGTCTGTTGAACGATACGAACTGCGCGGGAGATAAGCACGGAGGAGCCGAGGATGTACGCCTTGGTGAGTAATTCGGGAACCGTTATCTTCATCATTGTGTCGTATACCACGTATTCGACCGCCTGTGTGCCGCTTCGACATGGGGTCAAGCGGAGGCAATTAAAGAATGCCCACTGTTTACGGTCTTTCCCTCGCTGGCATTGTGTTGTCTTTTTCGTTTATCAACAACAATCTGCGTGTAGCGTTACAGTTGACCTGGTTATCATTGCCAATGCCACCGAAATAATAATAATAATATGGGCAATAACTGTTGGATGGAATACTAATGAATAAAAGGGATGGAGCAAGCAGTGGAGTCACCAGATGTATTCTCCAAGTGTCAGAAACGAGGCGACGAATGCAAGTATGCCAATGCATTTGGGATCTTATGTGGTAAGATGCATGTAAAACAGGTTTAGGTGACAACACGATTGCTTGGAACCAGATTTTATATTGAGTAAGCGGTTGCTTATTTTCGTATCCACAGCAATTTTTGTCGCTTGACACCATAACAGCCTTGCATGTTGCTTAGAGAACTATGGCTATCCGAACGTGGATAGAAGTTCGTCTGTCACGTTGCAAGTCCGGTTTTCTGTGCCACCAGGCCAACGTGATGAGCACTACTATGCGTGTGCCATACTTCGAACTCAGGCGAACCAAATCACTCGTATTTACAATTAATGTATGAATAATGTCCGTGTCCTTGCGAGGAAGACGTTTATCGTTCTTTACGATATTCCGGTTACCGTACTGTCAAACCCCGGTGCGTTTCTCTGGTTCTTAATGAATATGGTTTACATCAGTTTTAATTCGAACTCATTCCCGTCTTAGCTACTTCACCTTGATGCACTGCGCTGAAAGGAACTTGTCGAGTACACTTTTTAAGTATGCTGTTTCATTAATCACCCCCTAAATACATTTTTAATCCAGTTAAGCCACCTCTGCAGCACTAGCATCATTTTACGCCTAGAAACTTGAAGTTTCATTGGGTTCAAACAGCGAGCTTTCATCGGTGCGTCGACATGCAGGCAGGCGTGATTTGGGTTTGTCGGTATTAAATAAGCCATGATGAAGTCTCCTCGCTGAAGCCGATATTCGCCACCGTGCAATTCCAACACTTGCAATCTGTGTTGGTAGGGGACGTGAAGCAAAGCCCTAACGAATTTCGTCGCTTTACGTTGTGGAGCTTCAGGCGCATCAATATCGTGTTTGCGTCAGTGACGCCAGGCTTGCATCGCCTACTCCACGGCTGACGATGCCCTCGATTCGCGACCGAAAGTCGCTGCGAAGCTTGTTAGCAAGCTAAACGCGGTACTTTGTGAAACACGCTCTCACTATGCACGATAAACAATGCGTTTATGCGCGTCAAGTGGCAGTGCTTTACAGGTCCCGTCTGGTGGTCTAGCGAAGGTAACAAAAAATGTTTAACAAAAGATGGTACGGTAGTTATCAAGCTACGAACTTATCATTTGTTCTTCTGTAGTCCTTTACTCTACATGGTATCACTGTACCAACAAATAACCGCTAATAAATCCACGATAGATTCCGGGAGTAGAATGGAGAGAAAGTGCTACATAACAAAAGGTAACTGGATGAGTACGTCTTTCAACCGCCTTTTAAATGCGGCTAGTGGCAGGGCAGAAACGGCCGATTCAGGGAGGCATTTTATGTGAAGTGAGACATTTTATAATATAGTGGTTCAGCGGTCTCGCACTTCTGCTGCCATTTGTGTCGTGAATGCTTCTACTGGTTCTAACAATTATTGTCTTCGCACGGAGACTGGGCCCGAAACGTGCCTGTGAACTTGATGGAACCTGGTGAAATACTCTCCTCTCTTTGTAAGCTCAGTGAGACCAGAGAGATAATCAGGTGTGTAGTCACCCCTAAACAGGGGCGACAAAAGGGCATCGGGTAAACTCTGTTATGAGTCACAAAAAATCCGCAATGTTGCTCCCAGGAATGCATCCGTTGAAAAAGCAGCTAAGTCGACCACCGGTACATTCATTCACAATAAAGATTGCTGCCTGGTTAAGTAGACAGGACATCTTCAGTGACAGGTAAAGTGGATCCCCCGGACGATCCTTGTGTTACTCTGGCTGCGTGAGTCGGATTACGGTCTAATAAGCTTGCCCGTTTTTCCTGAGTTTCGAGACTCTATGTCATCCCCAACCATTTTATTGTTACCATTCGGTTCCTTTCCGAACCGTGTTAGTTAAGAATTATCGTGTAAGGCCTGCTTCTGAGAATAGATCCCTTTATTCGGATACTTATGGAAGCTTTAGGTCATGGAAGCTACCCGGTACCAATCAGTCACTTTGTCAACATTCTTGAGGCACGTTCGTAACATTTTAGGTATCCACAAGGTTATCTACGAAATAACTGTAGTATAAAAGTTGCTGGTATTATCATGTTTCAGTTTAACAAAAAATAGTATTCCCATTTTAGTTCATGTACCCAGATTTTCTACTGTGAATATGTGTGAACAAAACAGCTACCATACACAAAGTTGCTTATGGCCTACCGAAAAATAAATGAATTCTAATTCAGCCTACAACACCAAAATCTGGTCACATCACTGAAGCTGACATATCAAAGGAAACAAATCGCTGATGAAAGCGGGCCCTCACTAGTCAGTTCGAAACCGTGAACTGATCATGTCGCAACCTCACTTGTAGCGTCAGATGGCTGCAACCTAAAAGACTATACTCATACTAGTGAAATGTTTCTCCTACAATTCTACGCCTCCTTCAACATGAATACCGCTCTTGCCACCAATCATGGTCGATCAGCTTAGCTGTATCAAAGTTGTGGTCTACGATGTACACAAATTTATCAGGTGTGCGAAATTAGCTGAGTTCTGGGTTCCAGACAATTTTCTCCATGTAGCTGCGAAATTCTGCAGGGATGACATCCCCCTGCTATTGTTGAGGATGTTCAAGCTACCCATGAACCACGGCACCGTGCCAGCTCATTGGAAGGAAGCTATAGTTGTGCCGCAACATAAAATATGCCTCCTGTTGGCGACTAAGAAATATCACCCAATAAGCCACACGTTTATTTTATCCGAAATGGTGGAGCGACATACTGAAGCTAGAACCGTCGGATTATTACTGTCAAGAAACCTAGCAAACAACTCTCAGCACGTCTTCTTGATTACTCGGCCTCATGGGAAATTCTTGCTTCCCTGGTTCAGGCTGTACTTTGCAAATCGAATGCAAGTGGTACAAGTTCAAGAACATATATCTGAGCCTACACCTGTCACTAGCGACGTAATATAAATAAATGAATAACTAGTTTATTCTCGACAGGTCGAGACACACCTGTGAAGGTATGATCAAACAGGTACAACAAGTAGGAACGTAATGATACAGGTGAATTATTGAAAAAACTAAATTGAAAATTTCTCAGGTTTCACAACTGTCGAATAGTCGTGGCATCGTAGTAAAGGATGGCGCTAGTGCGCGGAAAAATCCAAGTGACAAATATGCAGGCAAAAGCCAATATCCGGCAAGGTTTCGCTAAGCTGACCTTTTGCGCACGTGATGAGTGGAATAGCTTAGTATTGCTTCCAGATGAAAAATGAATGTGTGCTAATTAATGAGGTAAACAAAAGAAATTCTTCTGAGCATGATTCATACTTGATTACATGGCGGAAGGGAATCAAATTGTGAATGAGAAGTAGGTAGGGTTGATGCTTACAACTGTCTGAAATAACCAATCTTCTTCCAGAAAAACAGCAAAATATCCATCCATCCAGGTATGTAATATGTGAATGTGTAATTGTGAAGACATCGGGTCCCTGGAGAGCGATAACTTTCCAGCTTAGGGAATAGATAAGCAACCAGAAATATATGACGTGATATCCACGGCATAATCTTCCATCCATATCCAGATGAGCGTACCGTGTGCTCTCTGAGTGTAAGAATCTGAACAGTTGTGTATGGACCAGCCGCAGTCAGTGCACGGACCATCAAGTGCCAACCAATGTCTGGAAATAGCGGGAAAACGGGCCGCTACAGTTCTTCATATATCTACGACGTATTAAAGTACAGCACACCGTACCCCTTTACCGATGTCGCAAAAATTGTACACTATTTCCGTCCGGATGCGTCTAATGATGTTAACAAGATCCAGCTCGACCTCCATGCGCTTAACCTGGTATTCCAAGTGGGAAATGCCTTTCACTATCGACAACTATTTTGTATTGTCCTACCAGCGCGAGTTGAATGGTAACGGCCTGACTCTTGGCGATAATCCAATGAATTTTTACTGTAAGATAAGCAATTGGGGTTGCGATATCCATGCTCACTTTAATTCTGGGAACAAGTAGCTTATGTCACCGCAAGGGCACTGGATTGATATTTTGGACTTTTTCTCTGCATGAGTCAGTACTTCGTGCTTAATTTTCACTTGCTCTACCCACGTATTACTCTTGTGCAATGATGTATAGCAGCTCAGAAAAGAGCGATTACATTACATCCAGACATAATCTGTTCACAAAATACCTTTCAAGTACTTCTTCGAAACCGGTTTCTTCTAAACGATGTGCTAATCTGGAGCTTGTTCCCCTCTGACCACGTCGCATGAAACACAACCTAGTCATATTCTGCAATATTTTGCACAAAACCAGACGTTTCCAACCTTAAACTGACATTAACGCAAGCAACCGTTAACAACACAGGAAATAAAGCGAGCTCAAAGTCAATATGCAACAACTGGACCAGTAGATCTTCGGACTTTTTCTTAACAGCTACAACAGTATATGCAACAAAGTACCAACCAAAGTACCTGCCTGCACTCCTGAACACAAATTTCGCAAAAGCATCAACAAATTTACTGTACAAAACGTGATCAGACTATTCGGTTGTTCCATAACCAAAGCCAAACATGCGATTTGGGTCCAGGTTTCATTTAACCCAGTATACGATTCGTCACCGCAATCGGTTGTGTAAGTTAACTGTAGTAACTATAGTAGTAGTAACTATAGTGACGCATATGAGGGGGTGATTTAAGGTCAGCCGACG